CTTGGGGTAGGGGAGCTGGGTGTGTGACATTTGTGATGTTCAGAGAGTTTGCCTAGGACCTCAGTATACAAACCTTATCCTCTTCTGGGCTAACAGTGAGTAGTTTGAATATGAAAAGGTTGAATTAATAATAAAGATTTAAAAAAACAATAATACAAATTTTGATCAGCATGCAAGAAGAATAGAGTATCCTTCTATACTCTCTGTAGACAAGGATGTTACGACATTATTGTCCTATAAAAAAAATAATCAGAGAGTAATCAGCTAAAAGAGGTAAGGAGAGAAAGCATTTTAGAGATCTGTCAGGTAGTTAATCTTTTGAGTAAACTATTTTTCTAAATTATATAATGTTTGTGCCATTTTTAAAATTTATAAAAAAAAACAAAAGGTTGAATTAAGCTTTTGAATCAAATTATTACTAAAAAACCATAATAATAATGGGCTACAGCAATTTATGAATGCCAACTAGGAGATTAACATGGGGCTCAGTACTTCAATATGATCTTGGTTCTCACAAGCAGCATGATTTATGTTAATAGACTATGCTAAGGATAAGAAAATTGAAGCTCAGAGGTATTGAATAATTTGTCTAAACTTTTATAACTAGGAAGTGGCAAAGCTGAGATCTGAACATGGATCCATCTGATGTGAAGGTCAGTGATCTTAAACATTATGTGAACTATAACCTGTTTGCCTGGATTGGAAGTCCTTCCTGGACCCGGGACTGGCGCACAGATCTCCTCTGAGCGTGCCCACTGGAGTGCTCTCATGGTCCTGAGAATCCATGGCACGGAAAAAATCTTCCAAACCATCCACCTCCTCATTATGCCGGAGGCTGGAACCAGCTACCGTGAGGTCTGGTTAAGCTTGATGATGATGGTCAGACTGCTCACAGAGAGGAGGGGCAAGGTGAGGACCTGTTACACAAGGATGAGTAGGGGCAAAATGAACAGGAACATCTGAGGATAAAATAACAGAGGTGAAAGCATCCAGGTCTCAAAATGGTTGCTAATAGTGATTTTCCTACTTCCAAAAGGATGGTCAGAGCATCTTGCCCAGTTGATTGTACCTTTGGGTTGAAAAGTCTAACACTTTTCAGAACAGCGTTAGGCTGCCCCTCAGGGAAGCCTGGGAAAGGAAGGCATCTCAACTGTCTCCCTTAAGGCACGCCTCATGAAGACTCCATCGTTCAACTCCCCACACTTTAGATACTCAATTTGAAGAATCACTGAACATCTTGGAAAACCACAATTCATACAATGTTATAAAACAAGCAAAGTTAATGCAATAATAATAAGCTCAGCTCCCTCTTGATTTTTTTTTTTTTTTTTGACAGAGCCTCACTCTGTCACCCAGCCTGGAGTACAGTGGCATGATCTTGGCTCACTGCAACCTCTGCCTCCTGCGCTCAAGCAATTCTCCTGCCTCAGCCTCCCTAGCAGCCAGGACTACAGGCATGAGCCACCAAGCCTGGCTAATTTTGTATTTTTAGTAGAGACGGGGTTTCACCATGTTGGCCAGACTGACCTCTAACCCCTGGCTTCGTGATCTGCCTGCCTCAACCTCCGAACATGCTGGAATTACAGGCATGAGCCACAGCGCCTGGCCCCTCTTGATTTTCTAGACTGATGCTATGGTGTCAAGAAGATATAAGTAATGATGATAGATTAACATGTTCTGCTGAGGACCCAAACAAAAACATGAAGGTTGAAAACTGAGGCAACAATGCATCCCATAGTTGTAGTCAGAAATCCTTCCTGTTGATTTCTGTACCAAAACTGCCTCTTTCAATTAATGCCCACCTCAACATCTTTTTCAGAATTTTAATTCTTAGAAAGCAGCAACTTTGCTTGGTTGCTTTACTGACATGACTTTCAGTTACATGAGGAGGTGCTAGGTACTGGGTAATAAAGAAACACAAGAAGAGTCCGGATAGATTCCATACGCTCCTGGAATACATGCTGAGAACATTAGCAACTCAGGAGTGCTCTAGGTGCTGCAGTTATCACTCTGACCATTTTCCTTCATATTTACTGAGAGGATTTGAAGAGAGGTCCACACAAAAAAGCTGTACATGGATGTTTGTAGCAGCTTTATTTAAAATCGCCAAAACTTGGAAGCAACCAAGATGTCCTTAAATCATGGTGGCTGAATAAATAAAGTGTGGTACATCCAGATAATGGAATGTTATTCAGAGCTAAAAAGAAAGGCGCTGTCAAGCCACAAAAAGACAAGAAAGAAAGTTAAATTCATATTACTAAATGAAAGAGGCCAATGTGAAAAGACCACATACTGCACTATTCCAAATATAGGACATTCGGGAGAATTCAAAACTATGGAGACAGGAAAAAGATCAGTGATTTCCAGGGGTTGGGTGGAAAAGGGGATGAAAAGGTGGAGCACAGAGGATCCTATGGATCAATGTTGCATGAGCTGCACATGTACCCCAGAATCTAAAGTACAATAAAAAAAGAAAAAGGAAAAAAAGAAAAATGTCTGTTCATGTCCTTTGCCCACTTTTTAATGCAGCTGTTTGGTGTTTTTTTTTTTTTTCCTTGTAAATTTGTTTAAGTTCCTTATTCATGCTGGATATTAGACCTCTGTCAGATGCAAAGTTTGCAAAATTTTTTTCCCATTGTGTAGTTTGTCTGTTTACTGTTGATAGTTCTTTTCGCTGTGCAGAAGCTCTTAAGTTTAATAGATCCCATTTGTCAATTTTTGCTTTTGTTGCCATTGCTTTTAGCACCTTTGTCATGAAGTCTTTGCCTGTGCCTATGTGCAGAATGGTATTGCCTAGGCTGTCTCCCGGGGTTTTGATAGTCTGGGGTTTACAGTTAAGTCTTTAATCCACCTTGAGTTGATTTTTGTATATGGTATAAGGAAGGGGTCCTATTTCAGCCTTCTGCATGTGGGTAGCCAGTTCTTCCAGCACCATTTATCGAGTAGAGAGTGCCTTCCCCACTGCTTGTTTTGGTCAGCTTTGTCGAAGATCAGATGGTCATAGGCGTACGGCCTTATGTCTGGGCTCTCTACTTTGCTTCACTGGTCTATGTGACATAACTTTTACTTTTTTTTTCAATATTTCTAAGCTATGCAGTTCATCTGTGAGTTTTTTCAAACTGTCACAGATCTCCAAAGAATTTTTCCGTTACATTTATTGAAAAAATTATCCATATAAGTGGTCCCACGCAATTCAAATCCACATTGTTCAAGGGTCAACGGTATGTCTTTTTTATTGTTTTTCTTTTTTTCTCTTCATTAGTATAAATTACATTGCATAAAATAATTGAAATGATAAGACTATTATATATGTTAGGCAAATAACATAAAAGTATGACATATGGGACCGTAAAAGCACAAACAAGGGAGAACAAATGGAGTTATATTGGAACAAGATGACTATATTTTCCAGGAAATAAATTAGTATTAATCCAGCACAGATCGCATTAAACTTAAGATGTACAGTTTAACCCTTAGAGCAATCAATAATAAAATAACTCAAAAACATAGTTTTTATAAAAGAAACAAAGAAGAGAATTAAAATAGTATACAAGAAAATACAATTTAACACAATTAAAAAGCAGTAAAAAATAAAGAGGAATAAAAGATATGAGATACAGTGTAAAAAGCAAAGTAGCAGACATGAAGCCAACCATATGAATAATTGTATTAAATGTGAATGGATTAAACATTTCAATTAAAGCGTAGAAATCGTCAGACTGAATTTTCTCATTTTATCATTATCATTTTCTCATTTTATCAGCATCAAATTTTTATCATTTTTAAAATGATAACTCACGCAAACAGTAAACAAAATTGGGCTGAAGTGGCAATACCAGTATCAGGCAAATAGACCCTAAGATGAAAATATTACCAGAGAAAAAGAGACAGTTAGAAATGATAAGAGTTCAATTCATTTGGATAATGTAATAATTATAAAAGTATATACACTTAACCACCAATCCTCAAGTTAGGAAAAATACCCAATCCAACAATAATAGTTGAAGACTGCAATATTCCACTCTAAATAACTGATAAAATGGTTTCACAGAATATCACTAGTAATGTGCAACAGACAAACAGAACTATGGACAAGCAGGACAGATCTGATACTCGTAGAATGCCCCACCAAACAGCAGCAGAATACACATCACAAGCAGGATATGCTCCAGGACAGATCAAATGCTAGACCAAAAAACAAGTCTTAATAAAGTGAAAAAGACTGAATTGTACAATGTATGTCCTGTGGCCACAACTGAATTAAATTAAAAATCAAAAACATCAAGAAACATGGGAAATCCCCAAATATTTGGGACCTTCAAAACAGCCTTTGAAATAATCCATAAGTCAAAAAAGGAAATTGTATGAAAAATTAGAAAATATTCCTAGCTTAATGAAAATGAAAGTACATTACATGTTAAATTGAAGAAATGCAAAGAAGTGGTGCTGGGGGAATGCTTTGAGAAATAGTATCTTTCTATGTTAGTGAACCTCTCTGTTTGAGGAGGACATGAGTTTGTAAATGACGTCTCAAGATTTAAAAGTATTGTGAGTAATTCTGTAACAACAATTGTAACTGAAACAATACAAATTACTGATGTAGTCTTTTCTGTGATAACAGAAATTTTACTCAAATATTACCCAAAATGAAACAGATCATCAAGGTTATACTGCCTTGTAAACTTGCTATTAAAAGTAATTTAGCTCCAAACTAAACTTACAATAAATTATATTTTATAGAGAATGAAATTAGAATGAGTTTACAAACCACAAAGATAATTCGAGAAAATAAAAACAGCAACCAAATAAAGAATACTATCAGAAATACCTCAGTAGCCAAGGTAAAGTTGGTTAACTTAAAATAATCCAATTACAACCTCCATTGTTTTCCACTCAAAGGATATGAGGAAAGATTTATAGACATAGACTTTCTCCATTCGCCAAATAAAATATGAAATACAAAATCAGGATGTCACATGGCAAAAGTTCTAAAATCTTACCTCCATCAGAACAAACAGTGCTGCAAAGAACAGAAGGGTTGCCCATTCCACTCTGTGTAGAATCATCTCAAAATCATGAATGTCAGCTAAAATTAGCAACCAGATGGCACCCAGAATAGCAATCCATCCTGAAAATAAGTAAATGGACATAGAGATATAGCTCCACTGTTAACACACCGATTCATTGTTTATCGTCTGGTTGCCTTTTTTCTTTATCAAGGATAATTGTCATACTACAAAGTGCATATACTTAAAATGCATATAACTTCCACCTGGTAAAGTGTATACTCATGAAACCAACACTGTAATCAAGATCACGAACATGCCCATTGACCTTAGAAGTTTATTCATGCCCATGTTCCTATACGTCCTATAGCTCATCTTGCTCCTCTGGTCAGCTCCCACACTCCCAGTAGCCATTCATCTCTTTTCTTTCACTATAGATGCAGGTTTTCTGTAATTACACCATTGCTTTTGTTGTTGTTTTGGGGTTTTTGAGACATCGTCTTGCTCTGTCGCCAGGCTGGGGTACAATTTGGCTCACTGCAACCGCCACCTGCCAGGCTCAAGCTGGGGAACCCAGCCTCCCAAGTAGCTGGGATTACAGGTACATGCACAACACCCCGTTAATGTTTTGTATTTTTAGTAGACGAGGTTTCACTATATTGACGAGGCTGGTCTCAAACTCTTGGCCTCACATGATCCACCCACCTCAGCCTCCCAAAGCGATGGGATTACAGGCATGCACCACCATGCCTGGCCGGTTGTATTTTTCGTCTATTTCTCAATAGACAGATCATCTAGACCAAAAAGTCAATATTCAGCATAATCATGTTAAGAACCTTCATGTTGGTGTACGAGTCAATAGTTCATCCTTTTTTCATGTGTAGTAGTATGCTAGTGTGTGGGTATGTTACAAGGTACACACCATTCACCTATCGATGGACACATGGATTGTTTCCAGTGTCTGGTAATTTCAAATGAACAAGTTATGAACATTCATATACAAGTCTCTGTATATACACATGCTTTCAGTTCCCTTGGTTAACATCGAGGAATGAGATGGCTGGATATATGACAGGTTAATACTATGTAATGTTATTTGAAACATTTATGCTTTAGCAAACTGTGAAACTATTTTCCAAAATGATTTCATTATTTTACAATCCTACCAGCAGTGTATGAGAATTCCAGTTTTTCTACATTTCACCAAAACTTGGTCAGCCTTTTTGATTTCAGATGTTCTAGTGGATGTGTAGTGGGATCTTGCTGTGGTTTCCAATTGCGTTTCTCTCATGACTAATGACATTGAGTATCTTTTTTTTCTTTGAGATGGAGTCTCGCTCTGTCACCCAGGCTGGAGTGCAGTGGTGCAATCTCGGCTCACTGCAACCTCCGTCTCCCGGGTTCAAGGTTCAAGTGATACTCCTGCCTCAGCCTCCCAAGTAGCTGGGACTACAGGTACACATCACCATCACCCGCTAATTTTTGTATTTTCAGTAGAGACAGAGTTGCACCATGTTGGCCAGGCTGGTCACAAACTCCTGACCTCAAATGATCCACCTGGCTCAGCCTCCCAACGTGCTGGAATTACAGGCATGAGCCACCATGCCCAGCCAACATTGGGCACTTCTCAATGTACCTTCCATATAACTTCTTTTATAAAGTTTTTGTTTAAATGATCTGCTTATTTTTTCCTTACTGGCTAGAGCAAATGAAACCCAAAATAAGTAGAAAAAAAGCAATAATAAAGACTGGAGCAGAAATCAATGAAACAGAAAATGGAAAAATGTTAGAGAAAAGCAATGATACCAAAACCTGATTCTTTCAAAAGCTCAGTAAGACTGGTCAACGCTTAGCTTACCTGAATAGAACAACTGAGAAAACAAAATTGCCAATATCAAGAATAAGATCAGTGGCATAACTATGGATTCTATACATTACAGATGTGTACTAGTTTTCTAAAGCTGCCATAACAAATGATCATAAACATAGTAGCTTGAAATAACACCTATTTATTACATCATGGTTTTCATAGGTCAGAGTATGCTGGTTCACAGCAGGATGTCTGTTTAGAGTCTCATGAAGCCGCAGCCACAGTGTTGGCAGGGCTGCCTACCCGTCTGGAGACTCTAGGGGAGGAACTATTCCTCTATTCATTCAGGTGTTGACATAATCCAGTTCCCTGCAGCTGTAAGACTGAGGCCCCCGTTTCCTTACTGGCTGTCACCCAAAAGCTGTGCTGAGCTTGCAGAGGCATCCACATTCCCAGGTTCGTGCCTCAATTACTCCATCTTCAAAGCCAGCAAGGCCCCTCTCACACTTCATATCTCTCCTGCCTCTTCTTCTGTCACAACTCTCTAACTGGCTCTTCCACCTTTCACTTTACTTTTAAGGGCCCTTGTGGTTATATTGAATCTACCTGGATAATCCAGAAAAATTTCCCTTTATGAAGGTTTATAACCTAAACCCACCTGTAAAGTTCCTTGGCTATATAACACAACATATATAGCCATTAATATCAGGAACTAGGGGGTGGACCCCTTTGAGGCAGAGAGGTACATATGAATTAATTTGGGAAAGATTAGCATTTTAACAATATAGGTGCTTCTGATCTATAAACACAGTATATAGCTCCAATTATTCTTATCTTCTTTCATTTTTCCTAAGAACGTTTTGTATGAATACCAGCAATCTTTTGTGTAGAAAGTAACAAACTGATTCTAAAATTCATGTAACAATGCAAAGGACCAGAATAATCAATACAACTTTTACAAAAGAAGAACAAAGTTTGAGAATATACATTACCTCACTTCAGTATTTATTATAAAGTGACAGCAATAAAGACTGTGATACTGCATCACAATAAATTGATCAATAGTGAATTCAAAAATATACCCATATATTTATGGTCAATTGATTTTTTACAAGGATTCAATGGTGATTTAATACAGAAGGAGAAGTCTTTTCCACATATGGTGCTGGAACAGGTGGAGATCCACATGCAAAAGAACTTTTATTTTGATCTGTTCATTAATCATATACAAAATTTAATGCAAATGGATTATAGTCCTAAATGTAAAACATAACTATAAAACTTCTGGAAGAAAATATAGGAAGAAATCTCTGTGATCCTGAGTTAAAGGTTTTAGTAGCTATAATATTACAAACATAACGTATGAAAAGAAAAAAATACATTAATTGGATTTTATCAAAATTATGAATTCCTCTTTTTCAAAGGGCCCTGTTAAGTAAAAGTAGAGAAAAGCCACAAACTGGGAGAAAATATTTCCAAATCATCTATCTGATAAAAGACTAATATCTAGAATATATATATATTTTTAATTCTCAAAATTCAGCAACTAAACAACCTAATTAAAATGAGAAATATTTTAAACAGACACTTCCACAAAGAAGATATAAAACTGACAAATGAGTACATGAAAAGATGGTCAAATATCACCAGCCATCAGGGAAACGTGGCGTAAAGCCACAATGACATTCACTGCCTACCTCAGAATGTGTAAAATCAAAAACACTGACTAATGTAAATGTTGACAAGGAGATGAAGGAACTGGAACTTTCAAGCACTGCTGGTGGGAGTGTAACTTGATTCAACCATTCTGAAAAACACCTTAGCAGTTTTTAAAAACACAATCCATACACGTACCATATGAACTCACCTTTAAGTATTTACCCAAGAGAAATTAAAGCATAAGGTAACACAAAGATTCAAATACAACGTTTACTGTAGTCTTAGTTGTTAAAGCCAAAAACTGGAAACAATTCAAATATCCATCAACAGGTGAAAGTATGTATAAAAATGGTGTCATATTCAAACCATGGAATACTACTCAGTAACAGCAGGAATGAATTACTGATGTATGCTACCACATGAATGAATCTCACAATTATGCTGAATGAAAGAAGCCGGACTGAACACACTAAGCAATCACCAAGGAACAGAGTCTAGTGACCATACATGACAAGGAATACAGTCTTTTCAAAAATAGTTTGGAAAAGTCACAAAACAAGACTACTACAGTCTTCAATTGTAAAAATTAATAATAATAACCCTGGGGAAGGGAGTGACACTGATTTCCAGATTTACCACAATATAATATTCAAATGTCCAGTGTTGAACCAAAAATACATCGCAAGGCATAGAGAAAAGCAGGCCAATGGAATGGAATATAGAGCCCAGAAATAAACGCTTATGCATATGGTCAAATGATGTCTGATGAGAACGCCAAGTCTACTCAACTGCAGTCTCTTTAACAAAGTGTTGAGGGAACTGGATATCCACAAGCAAAAGAATAAAGTTGGACCCTTATCTCACACCATGTACAAAAATTAATTCAAAGTAGATGAGAGACCTGAACACCAAGTCTCAAACTATAGAACTCCTAAAAGAAAACATGGAGGAAACAATTCAGTATATTGAACTTGGCAATGATTTCTAAGATATGACAGCAAAAGTGACAAAAACAGAAATAAACAAATGTGATTACACCACACAGACAGAAAGCAGACTAAGAGACTGCCAGGGGTGGGGGAGGGGAGCGTGAAAGGAAGAGCTATTGCTTAATGATTACAGGGTTTCCGCTTGGGGTTAATGAAACGTTTTGGAGATAATGGTGACGTAATTAATGCCACTGAGTTGTACAATTAAAAACGGTTAAAATGGCAAATTTTATGTGATATATACATATCACACATGTATTTTATATATTTATAAAATGTGTACATATCACATATGGATATGTAGATATCTACATACACATCACATACTTTACATACATACACAATTTTGTGTGACATACAGGTTTCTCACAAACCTTGCCATTTTAACCACACATTTTTTAACCATATGATATATTATTTTTCTTACTACAACAGAAAACTTTTAAAAAGGAAGATGGGGTTGGGAAGGGCATTGTCCTTTAGCATGTGAAGGCCAGGCACACATGAGATGTCTCAGCAAGGAGGCTGCACTTTTGTTAGCTTTGTGTCCTCACCAGAATGCTACTTTTCTCTGAATTCTCCAGGGCACCTACCATGCAGTACGGAAGACGAACAGACACTTGCTTATCTGACCATCACATAATGGCGACTCCTTCACCACCCC